AAAGTTGGGTGGTTCTTTCTCTGGGGAGGCCGCAGCTTGCTTGAGCTATGGCTGCTTACCAGGGAAGCAAGCTGGTTGCTTCTGATTTTAACACTTTGGGGAATATACTCAAAAGGGAATAGCTGTGTGAAATGAATTTCTATTTTTATTTTTTTGAGGAATCTCTATATTGATTTCCATAGTAGCTATATCAGTTTACACTGTCAGCAAACAATGAAGCTGGGTTCTTTTCTCTCCATAACCTCACTAGCAGGTATTATTGGTTTATTTCCTGATGATATCCATTGTTTCTGGTGTAAGAGTGTAAGGTGGAATCTTAATATTGTTCTAATTTGCATTTTTCAAATGAAAAGTTGTGTTGGACATTTTTTTCTTGTATTTGTTGGCCATTTGTGTTTGGTCATTTAAGTAGTGTCTACTCATTTCAGATGCCCATTTTTTGACTGGATCCTTAAACTTGATAAGTCTAATTTTTTTTTGATCTTTATATAGTCTGGATGTTAGTCTTAACATCCAGAGGAGTTAATGGAAATTTTTTTTCCAATTTTGTGGATTGTCTCTTTACTTTATTGATCATTACCTTTGCTGTGCAAGATATCATGTGATGATTTTTAATAGTTTCTTAGGCAACCAGGGTTTTATTCAGAAAATTTTCACCTGTACCTATGTATTCAAGAGTTTTACCTATTTTGGGCTTTACCTATTTAGTACATTACGTATTTGTATTTTAATGTTGAGATCTTTGATTCATTTTGATTTTAGTTTAGTGTATGGTGTAAGATACAGATCTAAGTTCAACATTTGGTGTGTGGTTTTTCCAGCATCAATTGTTAAAGAGGCACTCTTTCCTCCAGCACAGGGATGGGCCCCTTTGTCAAAAATTGCATAATTAAGTGAACCTAGAGCTGCTTCTGTATCTCCTGTTTTGTTCTATTGATCCGTAAGTCTGTTTTATTTGTTTGCTTATATTGGCTAATACTATGCTGTTTTTATCACTGTATCTTTGTAGTATTATTTGAGTCCAGGGTTGTCATGGCTTTCACCTTGTCTTGATGCCCAGAATTGCTTTTGCTACTATTGGTCTGTTCTGGTTCCCTATAAATATTACAACTACTTTCTCCAGTTCTATAAAATATCTTAGTGGTATTTTGACTGGGATTGCATTAAATCTATATAACAGTTTTGGCAATGTGGCTATTTTCACTACTTTGCTCCTGCCTATTGAGGAGCAGGGAATATCTCTCCAGTTTCTGATGTCCTCTTTATTATTTAATTTAATTTTGGTAACTAATGCCAAGTGAGTTCCAATAACTACATGTTTTCTGGACATGTGTCTGGGTTCTACTTTTGATCTCTGGTTCTGTAAAAGGATAGGAACTTTTAGAAACTTACTTTTATCCACTGCCTTCTGGTCTATTACTAGTGCTTTGCTACCTTCTCTGCAAAATCCTCTAAATTTACTGTCCCTCGCTCATGTCTCTTGCTCTGGTAACTTTGTTACCAATGTATCTCCCTACGCTTTTCATATGTCGGTTATTCTCTGGCAGGCTGAAAGCCTCCTGTAACCATTGTAACCCTTCACACCTCCTGTTATGGTCAGCTCTCAACATCTGTCCTTCTCACTTGGGCTCCCTGCACTGCTGCTCCTTCCCATCACTGCTATGTGCTTGGTGATGCCTGCTTTCCAGCTCTCCAAGGGTATCACTAGTCAAAAAGATCTCAGTTTTCATTCACTATCACCAAAACTTTGTGATTTTTTTGGATATAGTTTCTTCCCAGAGTGACGTCAAGAAAAGCATTTCTCATGTGTTACCATGAATTTATAATGTGCTTGGCTCTATGGCTTCTCAATCAATATAGTCCTCTAAAAGTACCATAATCAGCACTTACAAACAATTTGTTTTCCTATAGTCTCAGCTAGAACAAGCAAAACCAAAATTACACTAAATATCTGGGCTAACTAATTTCAGAAACCATCTAAAGAATTTAACACCTCAATTTTTTTTTAATTTTGCGCCTAGTTGTTTTTCGATGTTTAAAAATTTCAGATACAGTTCCTGAGCTATCCGAGGCTTTCAGATAAACTTATGATCCACAAATAAAATAAATATTTGCAACTATTCTCTATTTCACATTATTCTACTTATTTAAACAAGTTCTCATTAGTTTAAAATAGCACATATTTTAAAAAACTAATTACAGGACTAGATTTGACTTATTAAAGCAAATGAGTAATAAAATGTAATAATTGTCTACAAAATGTTAAACATCTGGACAGCCTGGTTTTGGTATGCTAATTATCCATTATATTTATTAAGCAAAAAATATAACAGAGCTAGTCAAGCACATAGAAGAAGACTATTTTAGGTATACTGTGATTCTCACATTGGATTATGAAAAAGACAATGTTTGAAAATTTTCTTCTCTTAATGCTTTAATACTAATATAAGTAAGAGAATGGGAACAAAAAAACCAAGTTATATCACATACAAATACAAATACCCTATATTGAATGTGATCATTATGTATACCAAAATGTACCAATAAACTTAATTAATAAAAAACAAAGTATTAGCCTTAATCAATCATAATTATTTTCACTGTAGTAAAGATTAAAATTATAATAAAAACAACCAGGTGAAACATCACGTAATCCAAAAATGTTTTGATACAGTAACCACTATTTTTCCAGTACTTTTAATTGCTTTTCTTCTCTCAAGAAATAAGCAATAAGAATATCTAGCACTTACTTTCCATTAGGAAGAAATAAAATGGGAGAAATTCTGAGGGATAAAGGAAATTCTTGACTTTTGAAATTAAAAGCCAAGGACCATATATAAGAGAAGATGACTTAGAAAATACATGCTCCAAACAAGCCTTTTCTGCTAATTCTGAGACTAAGTAAGACTTGCTAAATGAGGGAAGAAGAGAGTCAGAGTGAAGATAAGAGAGCTAGACCTTGGTGAGAGACCATCCTATTCTTATCCTCCATCTCTGAGCAGACAGGATTGGTAAAACAGAGGTGATAGTATCTTTAGGTTATACCCTTTATATCTTTTGTCTCACATTTCAAATACATCTCAAAGTGAGAGCAAGACTTATTATCACCTCATTTCAAGCACACCAAAGAAAAGAAGCAAAATAGAAATGCCTGTGGAGTGTCCAACCAGCTTGAGAAGCCTTGTTCATTGCTTGCAACCTGGTACGACAGGAAAAGCAGCCAAATGTTTTCCCAAGTCTTCAGGAGTAGCTCAAAAATGGTTCTGGCCACCAGTAAGGATAAGAAGAATATATGTGGCCAAGGTTTACCAGCTTTGAGTTATTACAGAGGAAGGGTCAAGTTTGCATAGATTGTTTGGTAGAAAGAGTCTAATCACTGATAAAATCCCTGGTGCTGTATATTTTTTCTGGGATTTTTTAAATGAAGAAATCAAACCAAATTCTTCTTTGTTTTCCTGTTACCAATTGATTGTTTGTAACCAATACCACCCTTTCCAATATCCCAGAATCTCTAATTCTAATGAGATAAACCAAAGGACACCAAAGATTGAACCAAACCCTACGGGTACAGTGGGTTTCAGGAAATATGCATAAATGTTTCAAAATACACAGGAAACTTACACAGTTTTTCCCTTTGGTATAGTACTGTTACTACCAACACACTGAAAAACTAAAACTCCATTAAATGAAAAAACAGTTTTTACATTATAAATCACAGCATGTCGATACCCAGCACACCCTAACCAAGCGGATTATTTATACTGAATGAGGAGTAGTTAGGTGACAAATGTTAGCATGAATATCTTCATCTGAGTATAAGAAAGAATCTCTATATGCTGATAAATTATATGAGTATGATACTGTGAGGAAACTGATTTCATTTTATTTATATTTGCTATAGAAATAATTTTTATCTCTTTTAATTTCATCAAAAGAGCTGGTACTGTTATTAAGACACTATTTTGATTGCATTAAAATATCAGTGTATAGTAACTTAGAAATGTGTTATAAATCAAAGATGTTTGATCTATCCAACAGCAAAGCAAAACCCGGGAACAATTACAAGTCCTGCGGGGCTATTTGATACTCATAGTGTTTTATGCCAAGTATGTGGACAAGTGAACAAGCAAGTAATTTGAGTAACTGAGATAAAAATTTTATAGAACTGATGAGCACCTTAATTACACTAAGAAATATGAAATTTAAATTCATCCCAATGTATAATAGAGGTATAATTTATCAATGTAGCTACAAACAGTGATAACTTCCTTGTGTGGAACTCAGGAGTCACAAGGACAGTAAAAATAAAAATCAGTGAAAAGTCGCAAAATGTGTAATAAGTATTATATTCAAGTTTAGAGGAGGTAAAGTATATGTATAATATGGTTAGATTTGCATATTCAGAAATTCACTCCATGGTTGAAGTTATTGAATTCCAACAGACGACTGTTTGACAGAAAAACAAGTGTCTTTCATATTGTTTTAATGAAAAACTTTGGCAGTGGAGTTTGAGAGAAGTTGGATAAGAGAAAGACCAGGAAGTAATAATTCAGCTTGTCACTTGAAATAGAGGAGAAATCCAAGAAAAAAACAGTATTGGAATTTGGATAGTGCTTGGAGTGGAGGAAGATGATGATATCCTTTTTGGAGATACTGAGTGGAAGAATGTGGAGTCCATCCGGGGGAGCTATCCAAGAAAATGTCATAAACATGCATCTGCAATTGAGTGCATCTTCTGGCCAAGGGATAGAAATCCGAGGCATGTTGCAGTTCAGAATGGAAATGTGAATTTTAACAATTGTATTATATAGCCTAAATTTAAAACAAGTGTGCCCCATTAAGTAAGAGCTTGAGCATCAGGTCCAGAGCATTTGGATGCTAAACCCAATTCCAAAATTGACTGGCTATGTGTGTGTATTGATTCATATTGATTGTCATCTTTATTGGGTTGAGAATCATCTAGAAAATTAATCGTACACACTTCTGTATGTATCTGTAAGGATGTTTCCAGAGAACACCAGCATGTGATACAGCAAGCAGAGCAAAGACCTGCCCGGATGTGGGTAGCACTTTCTGATGGGAGAAGGCCTAAATGGACCAAAAACAGAAGGAGGAGGAAACCCACCAGCACATGCTCTCTTCCCTCTGCTTGCTTCTTGGCTGCCATTAGGTAAGTAGACTCTTCCACTGCGTGCTTTCTCCACTGTGGTATTTATTTGGCCTCATCTTAGGCCCAAAGCAATGAAGCCAGCCTTCCATGGACTGGAACCTCTGGAACTGTGTGCTATGACAAGGCTTTCCTAATTTAAGTTTTTTCCTCGCTAAGCTACTTTGGCACAGTCATAGAAATCTAACACATAATGTGACCCAAGGAGCATTTTAGAACTTCTCATTGGCTCATTTTTGTCATCTGTGAAATGGAGACAAATACTACAATATTGTATCCTGCAAACTACTACAATCCACTGAATATCTGTGAGAATTAAGTAACTGAATATATATTAAATACTCAGTGCTTAAAGAATATAATTGAGCTTACTACTGGATCAAGGAAGATGACATTGCCATTTTAAAAGTCAAAAACAATAGACTATTAGCAATTACACATTATTTCATCTCGTATCTGTCAATGCATGAGTCTAGAGGCATTTTCCTGTCTCCAAAATTTAGTCTCACCCATTGTAAATTCATCTATTCCACCTTGCCTGTATAAACAGATACACAGGTTATCTGGAGCATGCACTGAATTGATGACATAATTACTGGAATAAAGTTCCAAATTTATGTCTTTTCATGATGACAGTAGAATGATCTTACTCATTTCTAGTATGAAATACCAACAAAAATACCCTGAAATACCCCTAAATTCCTGAAATATGTTCTTTACTCACACTCTTACACAATTTCTTTACTTACTATATTGTAAAGATAATAATTTGTATAAACACTTTTGGAAGGAGTTCAAATATCCTATGTCTTTGGGGGTAGGTAGTTACTGACTAATCTCTGTGGTTTAGACAGCTAAATAATTAGAGAATTACAAATGGAGTCTTTATTTACCCACCTACCATCTGCTTCTTTAAAGCTGTTTTCTAGGAATCAAGCAATGAAAACCATGAATGCAACCAAGAGAGTTCAGTGAAACAGTACGCACTGCAATGTTATTACATTCAAAAGCAAAAGTAAATTTATATATTGAAGTTATCTTGTAAACCTGAATATTTGGATAGGATCATTACTGAAACTCCTTTGTATAATAGCATACTGAGGTATAAGTTTTTATTACAAGTATAAGTCATATAAATTTAAAAATCTAAATTTGGTAAATCATTGAAATTCAGTCTGGATTATCACACGAATGTTTCAGTTAGAGTTCTAAGACATATGGCTAACAACATGAGTTGTAAATTTCAAATATTACAGTAAATACTTGTATGGGCAGGGACTTTGTTGGTTTTTAAGAGAGTGATTGCAACATTTGCACACAACATGAAAAATAAATGTTCTGCTACATATCTAACACTCGAATGATACTCAGATTATACAAAGGAATCAAAGAGACCTCTTACTTGGTAGCAAATATAACAAGAGAAAGTTTAGAAAATTCTAAGTATTTTTATTGATCCTTCTGAGGATTTGGTATTCTAATATCTATTATTCTTCCTTCCTTCTGAACAGTCTTTAAGGAATGTTCCTTTTTCTTTTAAAATAAAGGCAGCATCTTCTTTAATGGTATCACAATTTTTTTTCATTAATTGCTCAGTTTTCCAGGTTTCATTTTTAAAGTACAAATTTCATTATTAAAAACTGAATATTCATTCTAAAAAGCAACACCTTGTTCAGACCGCTTAACAGTCACAGGTGCACTCTTTCCTTGATGCTCCACCAATTCTGGATGTGGCTTTCTAGCCAAGGCAAAGTTCCAACCATTGTGTTGCATTCTGGACCAAAGGAAAGAAAAAGTGAGATAAAAAAAAAGAGTTCTCCTTTTCCGATTTAAAGAGGCTTTCCTGAAATACCAGGCAATCAGAAAAGATTCCTAGTGAAGTAGTTAAAGTCTAAAGTACATGCACATAGGTTTAAATCTGCACTTTTACATGCTTGTGTGACCATAGGCAAGTTATCTTCTCTCTAATCAGAGTTCTCCTATTAATAAAGTGGAATAATGGCCAAGAACTCAGTGGAAACTGTACAATGCAGGCAAAACGCTTAGCGCTCTTGCTTACTGTCCAGAGAATCTGAACACATGGTGGGTAATCTGGTTGCTCCCTGCGATGTGCATTTAAAATCACTATGGTGCCTGGGAAATCTCTAGATTTTGTCCTCACTCAAAAAGCTTTTCATGGGGCTCTTCTATCCAGATTTCAAAATACTTTGAGCAAAGTCACCAAGTGTACAATTAATTGAATATAGAAACCAGGAAAATAAAAAATAACTAAAAACCCTAATTTAATAACAGGTAATTACATGGCATAGTTCCTTCCCTGGAAATGCAGTTTAGAAGGAATTGAGCCACTTTATTTGAGTTAAGAGAAGACAGAGAAATTTGTCCCAACAACTGAAGCTGATAAAGTCCCTGTCCTCACTTACTCTAAAAGTGGGCTTAGAATTGTAGCATGTGAATTAGGGGGAGAAACACAGTTCAGTGTATAACAAATATACTACAAATTCAGTGCACCTGGGACTTTTTCTGGTTTTGTACTCCATAATTTCTTTGGTATCTTGTGTGTCATAGTTAAGCACCATCTCCTCCACTGGCCCCATTCTAAAACTGAATAAACTCAGGCCAAGGGAACTACTGAATTGTTTAAGTTCATATGCTATTTTGGAGAATCAAATCCATGTGTGCCTGTTCGTAGCATCACAAAATAAATAATTCAAGGAATGGGATTTAGCTTCATTCCCAGTCACAAATCTTCCATTTCTAATAAGGCCACATGCTGCAGTCCAAAAAACAAAAATCAACAGCAACAAAAAAAATCAATTTAAAACTGACCCTAACATATACTACGCTAAAGAAGGCTGAAAGCAAGATTAGCTCAGTACCATTTCATGAGGGTTAAAATTTGAAAAATTTGTCAAAAAAAAAAGGAATTTTAAAGTGGTATGGCTGAGTATGAAAAGCTAGAGATCATTCAGAGAAACATCGTGTATAGGAAAGTTCTTTCTAAAGATATTCACAAAGAAGCAGGTTGAAATTGCAAACACAAAGTTGCCTGGGGGGGGGGGCTCAATAGGCGGAGAATGAAGGTTGGATCAATGTTTTGCCTTGCAGAGTAAACACTGATTTCTCTTGGATGAAAGCTCAGGGGTAGAAAGAAGGCAACCCAACATCAAGGGAAATACAGTAAAAGCAGTTTGGATCCTTACTCGCTTCTGCAGAACACAGGCATGCAGTTGAACCTGCAGCTCTTTTCTTTTCCTGCCAGAGAGACTCTGAGATGTTCTGGAGGCCTCTTTAAATCCAACAGGCAAAAATAAGCCTCATAAGATTCAGAATCCCACCTATGGCAAGATCCACTGCATCTGTATTTGTTTCCCTAAAACCTGGTCTTATGCCAGGAATCTAGTACGTGTTCAGCAAATAACTAAATAAATGAACAGGCTCATAATGCAAATTATCAATCCATCTTCCACACTTAAAAGACTGTTTATTGTTCCATATAATCACGGATCTAATCCTTGAAATAGGTCTGTCTATTTCTCTAAAAGTTATTCTTAACCCCTTAATCTTTTCCCACCCAAGAGACAATGTCTTGTGTCTGTTAAGCATTGTCAAATCTTTCCTTTCCTATGATTCTCATACACTATAGCTTTCTATATAGAATTAACCCTGAACTTAATTGTAATATGGTCCTATGTGATTTTCCAGTCTCTGTTCTTTCCATACTCATTCATCCCTCACATTGACAAGTGGAATTTTAATAAAAATATCCAGCGATACCCAGTATCTCCTGGATCAAGTTCTTCCTAGCATGGCTGTGCTCAGGCACATTTCCATTCTTGCAGTCTGGTCTTCCATTAAACACATCTTTACATATGCACTTCTTGCTTCTCCAATCAGCAAACTCCATCTCGTCTTTGAAGCTCACAAGTTGATCCTGCTGTGGAGCCTTCTGATCCTCCTGATACAACACTTTCTTGTCCTCACAATCTTGGTGTTCACTTCTACTTCAGTGGTGATCACTTTGTAAATGGGCTCATTGCTAATAGTTAATCACTGTGAGAAAGAGGCGGAAATTGAAGATTGTTAGGAGTTGCCTATTTCCTCTTTAATCAAATATAGAATGAATGTGAATACTAATTTAATCAACAGTATATGGTAGAGGAAATTTTGTGCTACTTAGGGCCTAGCATTTTAGGGAATAGCAACTTTTACTTTTGTTCCTGAGGGTCCTAAAATATACTACATTTGACTTCTCTGAGAGCATCATGTCCAAACTAGCACATAGTGAGACAGAGAAGAACCAAAGCTCTAGATGTGTGATCCAGTAATTCTAATCATTTGTGCCACCCTAGCTGAGGACTCAGACATAACAAACCATTCTTTGCACTGGATGAATGCTGGCTCAGAATGATAAATATAGAGAATGGTTGCTGTTTCATGGCACTAAACCTTTGTATTGTTATGAAGAACTAATTAGAACACTCTTTAATCTACATGGATATTTTCTTAGCTTTCCTTCTTCTATGTTGACTGCTATGATCTCGGATCACTTTCCTATTTTCTAAACATTGAGGATTCTTGTATTTCCAAACCTTATTTATCTTTATTCAGTCCATTGGGAAAATTTTCTTCTACATTAAGATTTTAAATCCCATTTATAGGGAGCTAAAGGCACAGCTTAGAAATAGAGCATTTACCTAACATGTGCTAAGCACTGCATTTTTCCCCCACCGGTGAAAGAAATACATACATGTACATCAAATAAATAATAGCCCTCAACTTATATGGGTCCTCAGTTTTTGTATGCAGTTCTCGCAGGAAATTCAGACCATATTATCCAAAGGCTCCTAATCACCTCCATTTTAATATCTAATCAGTTTCTCAAACATGGAGCAATGATACTGAATCTCTGATTTCCTCAGCAAAGTCCCAAATCTTGTTTTTTCATCATAGTAAAGGGCACCCAGAATCACAAGTTGCTCAGAAAAGAAGCACCATAGCTA